TCATCATCATTCATTGTAAAGGAATCAAAATTTTGTTTAGCTAGACAATGTTTTTACTCACGAACATTAGATGTGCCGTCATGGAGCTCTTGAAGTTTTAACCAAATTGCATGTGCCGTATTTAAAGTGAACACTTGGTTAAACATATCCATGCTAAATGATTCAAACAAGCAATTCTTAGCTCTAGCATTGAAATGCATTTCTTTTTCATAACTCTTTGTGGGTTTTTCGGGATTCTTAATGGGTTTCATCCCGTCACGAGTGACTCTTCAAACACCCAAATCAATCGCCTCAAGGTGGCAAGCCATTCTAGCTTTATAATAAGGGAAGTTAGTGCCATCAAAGTACGGAGGCCTAGAGGTATCCATCACAACCGCTCTAAATAGCGTCGACTCAACGGCGGTTAAGACAAAAGGTCCAAATAGAGCCAACCGGCTCTGATACCAGTTGAAGAGGACCGTGACGTCTAAGAGGGGCGGTGAATTAGGCAAATTAAAATTCAACTTCTAAACTATAGCCACTTTTTCTAACCTTAGCAAAACCTATGCAAAAGATAAACTATCTAAATGTGCAACTATGGTTTTGCTAGTGTGTTGCTATCTCTACCGCAAAAGGAGTAATATAATCAATGTAAATGCGGAAGCTAAAGAGCAAGGTAGAGATATGCAAACTCCTGTCGACGACTCCGGTATTTTTACCGAGGTATCGAGAAGCGCATAAGCTTCCCCCTAGTCCTCGTTGGAGCCCCTCGCAAGGAATCCCTCGCAAGGGCCAAGCTCCTGGTCGGGTAACTCCATGGATAGCCTCGGCCCTTCCCCACGCGCAAGTTGGTCTCCGACGTGCCTTCCGGCAAGCCTCTCCCGGATGCTCTCCGTCGTCTTCACTATCAAGCTTCCGACTGAAACGCCGCGGGCCTTATTCCCTCCGATTGGTGTGATCTCGCAAGACTACAAGCCCCTCCGATGTACAACAATGGTGCGCGCAAACATCGAGTGGTGGGAGATATGCAAACCTCACTAAACACTAGGCCTAAACCTAGAGCAAGCGCATAAGCGGTGGTCTAATCAACCTAAGCACTTCGTAAAGCACCTACGCTAATCACCTAATGAATCACTAAGCACTATGCAAGTGAAGATCACTAAAATGGTGTATCAACACCCTTGATATGTTTCCTTAGCTCCACTCTACTCATTTGGCCGGTTGGGGGTTGTATTTATAAGCCCCACTGAGAAAGTAGTCGTTGGGGACGAAATCCGCTTTTACTGGCCGATCGATCGACGTCAAGTCGTCCCGATCGACGCGTCCGGTCGTCCCCACCGTTGGAGCCGCGATCAACTCGATCGACGCCGCTGCCGTCGGTCACTACTGCCACGGACGCGTCCGGTCGCAGTTTCGTCGCTCTAGAACCTCTCTGTACTCGACCGGACTCTGCTGTCCTGCGTCCGGTCGATTTGTCGCTAGCGTCCGGTCCAGCGTCCGGTCACTGCTGCTGACGCCTGTTGCCGAGCCACTTGATCGTTGTGTCCGGTTGCTTTCCTCCAACGTCCGGTCACCTCTGTGAGCTCGTTTCTTCGCGATCTTACGTACGGCTTGGTTTCTATCTTCGTGCTTAGACTTTGCTTGATATCTTGGGTCTTCTCTTGTGCTTCTAAGGTCTTGCTTATGGTGTTGATCATCAGATCATCACGTCGCCTTTGTCCAAGTCATATCTTGCACCCTATTGAACTACAAAACAATCACTTGTAAATTCATTAGTCCAATTTGGTTGTGTTGGTCATCAAACACAAAAATCCAAAGTAAATGGGCCAAGAGTCTATTTTCCTTACAGACCTTCATGGCGTCGGACTCCAGCCGGGCGGCGAGGATAAGAGGCGCGTGAACATCTAAACCCTAACTAGAAACGAGCGTGTGCTGCGTGAGACGAAGGGAGGCGAGCGTGCTACGGGAGAGGAAGGGAGGCGAGCGTGCGCGCGATTAAGGGAGGCGAGCGATTAGCAGGCGAGTGAACGGGCGGCGCATGAAACAAAGCGGGCGAGCAGGCAGTCGAAACGTTCTCCAGGGACAAACGCGTCCAAGTAGTCCATCTTATGGCCTCAGCAACATGCTTTGAGAAAACGGTGTCAAGGCCCAGGATGACTTCCTTTCCAGGTACGGAGGGAGTACGACACAAACGAATACATGGGTTTTCGATGCAATTGTTACTTTTTGAAAAATAAAACGATTAGAAGTTCGACTAAAGTTATATAAAAAGTGTTAACATTTATGATCCAAAATACTATAAAATTATTTGTAAAATATACTTTCATAGTAAATCTAATTGGACACATATACTATTCACTATAGATTAACAGAGAATTATCAATTTGGCCCTGAAATACATCAGTCGTCCGAATGCGGCATTCAAAAAATTAAACTTTCTTATCTGGCACCGAGTTAAAATTTCCTTCCGTAAATAACACAGTCATCCATTTGGGCCAATGATGATGTCAAGCGGCTTGCAAAATAACATGAATACACTTGTTTGTAGCATAAGTTCTTCGTGCCAAATAAGGAATGAATAAATGGACAGGTTGACAAATAAGAAAATCATAAATATACGTGTGAACTAAAACATGATATTTTGATAATGAAAGACTGCAAATAAATAATCAATAAATGTCAAATTCTAAGGTAACAACATGTACACATTAGTTTCATGCACAAATGGACGGATATGTCATATCAGCATACTTAAAAAGCAAAAAAAAAAAGAGAAAACCACACCTTTGACACCTCACATTAGCTTAACAAATCCATACAAATAGGTCCACATATGCATACATTATAGATCTCCATCATTACCAGGTTCATAAACACATGAAGGTTGATACACACGAGTTTATTAAGTTCACATTGCACAACAGCAGTTTCATGCACACATCAGTTATACTACATTATAGTCCATAGAGCATATGCCTTGTACATTGCCAAGCACATCTACATAGAGAATCACAAGGTCAACCTTCTTGTGCTCTTTGCAGGACTAGCAAGGTCAGTTGTTTTGTTTCTGGTGCCCATTGCAGGGCTGTCGAGTGGCAGCATAGTAATTTTTTGGTCCTGAAGCAGGATGTTTCTTCCTCCTTTGGCCTTCTCTTTAGTTGGAGAATGAAGCTCTATGCAAATTGGCTCAGGTTGATTGGAGCCACTTCTTGACCTGCACATGTAAATGTATTTAAGTTGAATTTATATGTAACAAGATCAGGAAGAACTACAATATCAATTGTAACATGTTACCTTTTTTATGCTCCAGAGGTAGAGTTACCATGTTTCAATTTTTTCTTGCTTGTAATCTCCATGCTTTGGCAATGGTGAGAGAAGGGGTAAGGTAACTAGAATACTACTCCCTCTATTTTAAATTGTAAGTCGTTTTGGCTTCTCTAGATTCATAAGTTTGATTATGTATTTAGACACAAGTGTATATCTAGATGCATAGCAAAGGCTATGCACCTAGAAAAGCCAAAACGACTTACAATTTGGAACAGAGGGAGTAGACTAGAAACCATGTTTCATTCAATAGAACACAAAAGAGATCTTAATACCAGTTTGAACTCTCTGAAGGTCTAGATGTAGAGTAAGCTTTTTTTCTCTTCTTCTTAGTTGTGTTATCTTCTACGTTGGAGACTTCTTAGTTGTAGTTCCCAAGTTTTGACTATGTTATCAAATAATGTAATTAGAAATCAGCACAAGTTAAATGTTTGGAGTAGAGAACTGAACATGGCCTCTGCGTGACGAACCGCGGACGGGGGAGGCTGCCCCCGGCCTCTGCTCGACGAACCGTGGCCTAGGAAGGGGGCCTTGTGGCCTGACGCACCAGGAGCCACCACCACCGGCCGGCAAGGATGTCGTGCTGCCTCTGCCACGGCGTGTGCTGAATAGAGGGGTTGTGCCGCCTCCGCCATGCCGCGGGTTGGCCGGAGCGCTGGCCCGTGAGCCCGCCCCGCCGCCATGACTGTGCCGCGGCCTTGCTCCGCTGGGTGAGGCCACCCTGCCAGAGGACGCGCGTAGTTGGTGCTGGGTGCCACCGGCTGTGGGGTCATCTACTCCATCCTCTCCTCCGCCTTTCATTGATCTAGGGTTAGGTTTTTTTGGGGAAGAAGGTCCCGAGTGCGCTCGGCCACTCGAGGAAGGTCGCGGGAGTCGGGGTGAAAAGTTTGGATGCGCGAGTAACAGAAGGGTATGTTGGTTATATGGAGAAAAAACTAGCATGGTGAAAAAAGTCAACTAACAGATGGATGGGTCAAATGGACATCAGTGGCATATAGGGTAGAAAAAGCAGTGTTAACAGCTAAGCTTGACGTGAAACTGAGCTGTGACAAACGAGGCCTTAATGATGTAGCCCAGGAAATTGCCCCAGCAGGCAGCAGCCTTGATAATCCCAGCAGAGGAAAAGTCAGCACAAATATTGAAACACGTGCAGCATACACGCTCAGCCAGTCAGCCCTCTGAGTTGTTAGGTAAAGAGAAAAGTCATCAAGAACAATCAAGGACGATATCATCATAACCGAATTCCGCGGTTGGTTTCAGTCAGTGTCGGTGTCATACTGTGTTTGAATTGGCTGGTATGTGAAATCACCAGGAACAAAAGTGGTCAAACAATGGACACCAACAGTCTAGCTTTAGTCCGCTACTCATGTGGCAAAAGTTACTCACAGTGAAGTCTACGCCCGTAATGATCACGATTCATGATCGCTGTCAAGACAAGTGTACGACGCTGCCTAAATTGAAGACTTCTTGCAGGACTGTTCGGCACAACTCTGAAACCAGAGCAGCAGACACCATGCATGCATGCTCTCTGTTTGTACTAATCAGCACTCAGCAATGGCAGCTTCCCACGGCAACACCCTTATAAGCCGGCACATGCCAAGGCCTTGCCATTAGCACACACGAGAAAGGAGAAACCACGCAGAATCTCAGACAAGAACACCTACGCTGCGCGCCTGTGTATCTGAGCCGTGACGAGCATGGCGGCAGCGCCACCGGCTGGACAGCACGCACTGCAGCTGTATCTGCATCTGCTGCTGCTGCTGATCATGTTGCAGTTAACGGCAAGCGCGCAGCGGTCCGACTCTGACATGGAGCAGGACGCGCTGCGGGCGTTCACGGCCGGCCTGTCGGACGCGTCGTCATCTGGTGCCCTCCAGTCATGGAACAGCAGCACGCGCACTTCTGCCGGTGGCGCGGTGTGGCGTGCACGGGCGGGCATGTCACGTCGCTGAATGTGTCCAGCCTCGGGCTCACCGGCACCATCTCCCCTGCCATTGGCAACCTCAAGTACCTGGAGTACCTCGTCCTCGAGAAGAACCAGCTCTCCGGGACCATCCCGGCCAGCATCGGCAGGCTGCGGCGCCTATGGTACCTCAACCTCTGCGACAACATCGGCATCAGCGGGGAGATTCCGGACAGCTTCCACAGCTGCACCAGCCTCGGGTTCCTGTACCTCAATAACAACAACCTCACCGGCGCCATCCCGGGCTGGCTCGGCACGTTTCCCAACCTCACCTACCTGTATCTGCACCTCAACTCGCTGTCCGGCGAGATCCCGCCATCGCTCGGCAGCCTCACGAAGCTCCAGGCCCTCAGGCTCGATGAGAACTACCTGCGAGGTAGCCTACCCCCTGGCCTCGCGGATCTTCCTTCCCTTGAGACGTTCAGCGCGTACCAGAACCTTCTGTAGGGAGAGATCCCACCTGGCTTCTTCAACATGTCATCGCTCCAGTTTCTTGCCCTCACTAACAACGCGTTCCATGGTGTCCTCCCGCCCTATGCTGGCGCGCGCATGTCCAATCTCAGGGGCCTATACCTTGGTGGCAACAATCTGACGGGCCCCATCCCCGCAGCACTTGCCAAGGCCTCGAATCTAACGTGGCTCAGCCTAGCAAATAACAGCTTCACTGGGCAGGTGCCTCCAGAGATCGGTATGCTCTGCCCACAGTGGTTGTACATGTCGGGTAACCAGCTAACGGCTAGCGACGAGCAAGGCTGGGAGTTCCTGGACCATCTTGCCAACTGCACCAGCCTGCAGGTCCTTGCCCTTGACAACAACAAGCTCGGTGGAGAGTTGCCAAGCTCCATTGGCCGCCTCTCGACGGAGATTCAAGCGCTGCACCTCGCGAACAACCGTATTTCCAGGACGATTCCACCGGGTATCGGCAACCTCGTCGGGCTGCAATCGTTGGACCTTGAATCCAATCTCCTCAACGGCACCATCCCGGAAGGGATTGGGAATATCAAGAACCTCATAGAGTTGGGGTTGCAGGGGAACAGGTTAACCGGGCCAATCCCATCCTCCATTGGCGACCTAACCCAGCTGGTAAAACTTGATCTAAGCAGTAACACGTTGAGTGGATCCATCCCTCACACTCTAGCCAACCTGAACTGCCTAACATCGCTCAACCTCTCGGGCAACGCCGTCACCGGACACGTCCCAAGGGAAATCTTCAGCCTGGTGTCCTTGTCCTTGGCGGTGGACTTGTCTGACAACCGGTTGGACGGCCCACTTCCACCTGATGTCTCCGGCCTCACCAACCTTGCGCAGCTAGTACTGACCGAGAACCAATTCTCCGGTCAGCTGCCAAAAGAGGTGGACAACTGCCAGAGCCTGGAGTTTCTTGATCTGGATCGTAATTTCTTCAACGGAAGCATCCCAACATCACTGAGCAAGCTCAAGGGTCTTAGGAGGCTCAACTTAGCGAGCAACAAGTTGACCGGGAGCATCCCACAGGAGCTCGGCCAGATGTCCGGTCTTCAGGAGCTGTACCTGTCGCGAAACAACTTGACAGGAACAGTCCCGGAGGAACTGGAGAACCTGAGCTCCCTGATCGAGCTGGACTTATCTTACAACCACCTTGACGGCAGTGTACCGCTGCAGGGCATATTCGCTAACATTTCCAGCTTGAAGATCGCAGGGAACGCCGACCTCTGCGGTGGCGTCCCGGAGCTCAACCTGCCCCAGTGTCCAGCAGCCAGGAACACACGCCCTACTCACTGGCTTCTCCAGATAGTGGTGCCTGTCCTAAGCATCGCTCTCTTCTTGGCCATACTAGTGGTACAGGAGAAGGCCGAGACAAGCAAATAAAACTGATGATGCAATGCTGGATGATGTCCTCGATGGCATGAACTATCAGAGAATATCATACGCTGAACTGGACAAAGCGACCAACGGCTTCGCAGACACCAACCTGATCGGTGTAGGGAAGTTCGGGTCCGTGTACCTGGGCACCCTGCCCCTGCTACCGAAGGGTGCTTCAGCGCCCGAGAAGGTTGCCGTGGTGGTCAAGGTGTTCGACCTCTGTCAGGTTGGTGCCTCCAAGACATTTGTATCGGAGTGCGAGGCGCTGCGGAACACCCGGCACCGCAACCTCGTCAAGATAATCACCTGTTGTGTCAGCGTGGACGTGACAGGCAACGACTTCAGAGGCCTGGTGTTTGAGTTCATGCCCAATTACAGCCTAGACAGGTGGTTGAACATGAACCCCAAGTCTGAAGAGATGAAGATCATGAAAACCCTGAGTGTAATCCAGAGGCTCAACATCTCCGTGGACATCGCCGACGCGCTGTGCTACCTCCACACCAACTCCATTCCACCGATCATCCATTGTGATGTTAAGCCCAGCAACATTCTCCTCAACAAGGACATGAGGGCGGTGCTGGCCGACTTTGGCCTCGCAAAATTGATCCTTGAGCCCAGGAGCCATGACACTTCAAACGCCACAAGCACAATTGGCTTGAGAGGCATGATTGGATACGTCCCACCAGGTAACTTCAAGTCTCCAACATATGTATCTATATTCTATATATAGCATAGCAATGTGACATGGCACATGTCTGAACCCTCCTTTAATTTGTGTGCTGTGCAAAGTACGGCATGACAGGGAAGGTGTCTACGCACGGCGACGTCTACAGCTTTGGGATCACACTGCTGGAGATCATCATGGGGAGGTCACCGACCGACGACGCGTTCAAGGACAGGCTGACGCTGCTGGAGTTCGTCACCGCGTCGTTCCCAGGCAAGATCGAGCAGGTCCTCGACCCGGCCCTGCTGCAGGTCGAAGGGTTTGATGGCCAAGTGTCCTGTGGCTCCGTTGACGGTGGTGCGCATATCTCGGAACGCGATTGCCTGGTCTCCGCTGTGAGGGTGGGGCTCAGCTGCACGTGGGGAGTGCCGTTCCAGAGGCTCAACATGAAGGATGCGGCCACCGAGTTACGCTCCATCATTGACGCTTGTGTCCGTTCGGCTGGGTAAAGGTAACAATGGAGGTGGAACGGTATGCGATCGTATCGTTCAATAACTTTTAGTGCCTGTTTTGATAGAGCTCCCAATGCTCCTAATTCTATGGTTTCAGAGAAGTAATTCTATACCTGAAAGTTTACATTGTATTCTCTATATATGATAAACTATATGTAAAAAAAATGATTATATGTGATAAGTGAGTCAGGAGAAGTGAGTATTTTTAAACTTACAACCTACAAATACTGTTTAGCAAAGCTTCCTGAATTCAGCCAGAAACCTACTTTGGGAGCTCAGCCAAACGGATCCTTAGGAATCATAGTGCATTGCTACGTTGAAAGAGTGATCATGGTGCTTTTTTAAAAAGATTTATTATTTATGTCAATGTTTTTTCGCACTCAATGTATCCCTATATGTTTGTTGGGAACAAATGTGCCTTGGAGAGTGGAGAAAGTGCTCTTCATATCTTGTTAGTTAAATGTGAACTAATTCCTACATGAAAAATATTTGGTGTTCAACAAAACTATATATGCATTTGGCACGTGGTTTCGACTGTTTAAAAAAAAAATTGGAGAAATTAATTCATCAACCTGTGCTCTACCACTGTTTAAACTCTTACATTGCATCAGTGGGGGACCCTGCCCAATAATTGAGCTAGGGCGAACTTAGACTGCGCCACATCGTTGCTATACAGGGTAGGATTTACTCACAGGCAAGACAGTGGACACACCTTTTTTACTCACAGGCAATTCAACAAACACGTAGAGAGCGCCATGACACATCACATCACCAGCTAAGTACGGGAGAAGCTAATTAGCTATAGGACAACGCACCTCTTTAGAAGGGCCACGCAAAGGCAGAAGAGTGGGGCGTGGCCTGAATGCCGGCGGACTTGGTGATCTTGTGACGACATGCTCCTCCGGTCCTCCCAACCTCCCAACTTAAGAACGAAGACGACAGACTGACGGCGGCATGGCAGCGGAGCCAAACATAGCAGATCAAGGGAGGCGAAGTGTGGTGGCGTGGAAGCGGATTGAGGAAAATATCAACCGGGAAGGCGGGACTGGGAGGCTGAGGGAGCCAGCGAACCAACGAGGCGCTGAGCCTGCGAGCGCCGCCGCCGCCGCCTGCGTTCCACACTTCCACGCTCGGCCTTGCGCCCTTGCCGAGTGCTGTGTGGGGGAGGCTGGGCCGCCAGGGAGCGCCAGTAAGGCCGCTTGATGGGCCAATGGGACGTTGGCCCACGGCGGAGTGGAGATGGACCAGTCTGCCCCAGCCCATGAACTCCTGAAACCTGCGGGTCGGTCTGCCTATATGAATCGTTTGCATAAGTAGACGAAATCAATTATGTTTACACTCTCAATTCATATTTTAAACAATACCCATTTTATACACTATAAATTCTATCCATTTGTGATAGTTTTACCAACTACTATATGTTATGTTTTGATCATTTCTATTACAACTTCGTTGGTTTTATATATATTTAGTTGAAAAACATAGCTTAAATTATATTGGTCTTGTTGTGTTATTTTTGTGACATCATAAGTCCATATATTGGTTTCTATTTTTTTATTTCTTAGTTTTTATATTTGTGTGAGTTCAGACTCCGATTATTGTTGTATTTTCTATTCAAAACTTCTTTTATATTTTTAGTGAAAATTTGGACTGTGTGTCATAGACCATGCTCTTTGTTAATTTAATGGTATAAACAGTCATTTCAGCTCACACCGTATGACCATAGTGCTCAAGACGGTGAGTTTCCTCTATCAAAGTACTATAAGTATATAGTACTATTCTACGAAAAGTAGAGTCTTAGAACTAAATTCCTAGTATTGATATATCATATGTTTCAATCAAAATGTATAAACTTACATTTGTAATTTATTAACACAGATTATTAATATAATCTATTAAAATTAACGGCTACTTTGGTAAATGGTGTAATTTGTTAAGCGAAGATTTTTTTTCTTGATCGAAAAACTATAAAACTATATATGGTGACAAATAGCATTTATGTTTATTCTTAATTTAACATTGGTAGAATCGGGTGATTTAGGAACATATATACAGTTTGGTATAAGGTTTAGTTTGTTATGTGAACATTTTTTTCTTGACCAAAAACTATAAAATTATACATGGTGACACATGATATTTATGTTTACTCTGAATTTAACATTGGCAAAACTGGGTAGTTTACCAACATATTATAAGTTATGATATAAAATGGTAGAGGTGAGTAATTTAGATGTAAATTAGAAGTGTTACTTTATACCATCTTTCGTAATCGCATGTGTACATTTACGATGTTATATATGTTTTTCATAATGGAAGAAGTTGAATATTTTCTTAACACTATCCATATCCAACTCTAAATTCTAGAAAGAAATGACTACCCGTATTCGGTATCCGTAACATCCAATCACCAGTTTCAATTCATCCCTAGTAATAGCGAATAATGAGAAGCTGGTAATTTGTATGGAAATCTGAGTGTTACTTTATGTTATTTTCATAGTGGCATAGATGACTTGTTCAGATTTGAAGTTAGGGTTTCACTTCATATATTTTTTCATATCTATAGGGGTGGGAAATTAAGATATAGATTTAGAGTGCTCCTTTAAGCCATTTCATAATGGCAAAGGGAGTTATTTTCTTTTCCAAAAACATAATGATCTAATAGCTATTCTTGTCGGTTCATTAGAGCATATGGGATTGATGGCTATGTGTTTTAGGATTTTTGTGAGAAATGTATCTCCTTTTTGGCTTTCTAGAGCGTCTATCCGTCTGATAACAAGAATTAAAAATGCCTAATTAGTAATAGTTGGTTAAGATATCCCAAAAATTTTTTATGGTAATCGGTTACGAGGGGGGTCCGAAAAGCCTGCACCTGGTATATTAACCATGGATACAGAGATATCTTGGTAGTGTGGAGGGCTGGCGCCCAGCAGGCATGAGGTTAGCGAATTCGGTGATTACATTTATAATGATGTATGCAATGAATTTGTCTCGGCAACCTTGATCATCCTTCCAGAGCAAAAGTCAGCGCAAACCTTGATAAAGTCAGTCAGTCAATCATCGGTTGGTGTATCCAAATCAGCAAGAATTTGTCTCGGCCGAATTCTGTCAGTGTCATCCTTCCAGAGATCTGTTTCAGTCAGTGTCCTTGCGATAAAGTTTGAATGGGCTGGACCGGCTGGTATGTATGTAAAGCGCAAATCACCAGGAACAATATATAATAACGGTCAAACAATGGATAGCAAGAATTCTGTCAGTGTAGATCCAAATTTTTGAGCTCTGTTTCAGTCAGTGTCGGTTCGATTTAATAAACTTTGAATGGGCTGGACCGGCTCTCGGATTTACAACAAAACTGTATAATTAGTTATTTTTTTACCTAATTTAATACCAGGAACAAAATTAATATGATGACGGTCAAACAATTAATATTTGCAAGAAACAAGGCTCTAGCTGTAGTCAAGTCAACTACTCCTGCTCATGTGGCAAAAGTCACTCGTCTAGTCTACGCGAATGATCGCTGTCAAGACAAGTGTACGACGAAGTCACCAGCCTAAACTGAAGTGTTCTTGCAGTACTGTTCGGCACAACCTTGAAAACCGGAGCAGACACCATACATGCAAGCTCTGTGTTTCTACTGCACTAGCACTATAATCAGCAGCAGCATTTGCCCTGTTCGCTTGGCTGATAAGTCATGGCTGAAAATATTATTGACTGATTTGTTGAAAGAGAAAAATATTGTTCGTTAACTAAAAAATATACGACTTATAAACCAAACGAACAGGTCAATTGAACTGCAGCTGCTTCCCGCCCCCGCGGCAACACGCTTATAAGCCTGCACATGGCGAGGCCTTACCGCCTTACGACACACGAGAAACCACGCAGAATCTCAGACAAGCACACCTCCTGCTGCTGATCATCATGTTGCCGTCAGTGGCAGGCGCGCGCGCAGTGGTCCGACTCGGACATCGAGCGGGACGCGCTAAAGACGTTCAGGGCTTGTGTGTCGAGCGGCCTGCGGCCGGGACTTCTCAGCGGGACGGGCACAAGCGTCCCTGATGGAGCGCAACTCGGCAGCCGCATCCTTCATGCTGAGCCTCTGGAACGGCACTCCGCGCGTGCAGCTGAGCCCCACCCTCACAGCAAAGACCAGGCAATCGTGTTCCAAGATATGCGCACCGCCGTCGTCGGAGCTACAGGACATTTGGCCATCATCAGACCCTTCCACCGGCAGCAGGGCCAGGTCGAGGACCTGCTCGATCTTGTCTGGGACCGACGCGGCCACGAAGTCCAGCATGGTCAGCCCGTCCTTGAACGCGTCGTCCGTCGGTGATCTCCCAGTAAAGATCTCCAGCAGTGTGATCCCAAAGCTATAGACGTCGCCGTGTGTCGACACCTTCCCTGTGGTACCGTACTCTGCTCAACACACAAATTAATTAATAATGTAGGGTTCAGACATGTGAACATTGCTATGCTGGAGTATATAGGGCTTCTTTGGCACGACTTATGCCGGCTTCGACTTCGGCTTTATCTATTTTGCGTAAATTGAGACACTGTAGCGTGAAGTTGTTTTGTAAGTCGGGATTAAAATGAACTAGAAGCCGTAAAAAACCAATTTTCCTGGCTTCACCGGTGAAGCCATTTTAGATCAGCCATGCCAAAGAGGGCTATAGAATATACATGTATGTCAGTTTGGCACACTGGATGCTGGAGACTTGGAGTTACCTGGCGGGACGTATCCAATCGTGCCTCTCAAGGCACCAGTGCTTGTGGTGCTGCAAGTGCCGTCGTGGCTCCCGGGCTCATGGAGCAGCTTTGCGAGACCGAAGTCAGCCACCACCGCCCGCATGTCCGCGCCGAGGAGAACGTTGCTGGGCTTGACATCACAGTGGATGATCGGTGGTACGGAGTTGTTGTGGAGGTAGCACAGCGCGTCGGCGATGTCCACGGCGATGTTGAGCCTCTGGATCACATTCAGGCTCTTCATGTTCACCCACCTGTCT